AAGAAAGCAAGATCATTCGTCAAGAAGTCAAGTCAAAATATGGAAATAGCTGTCCATATATTGCAAAACGCAATCACCCCCCAGTATTGTGAATAAAATTAAGTTATATAGGTAGACAATCCTAAAGCAGTTCTCAACACGCTCCAATCAGAACTATTTCCACGATTTAAGAAGCTCTAATACATCTAATAAGACTAAAATATTCGCAACTGCCGCATGAACTGAGGTCTTTTATAAAACACCAATCATCTATAGACCCGACAATTATAAGGGGCATTCTGCAGCATTCACACTACAATTAGAATACCTTCAGTAGTCGATAAAATATGCAAATATTACCTGACCGAAAGCTCTAAAATTGTTTGTTTTGAAACTATCTAACTGTTTCTTTTTGTATACTTGGTTTGAAAATAAGTTCATCTAATCAAACAGTTTTTAATAGTCAGTTTATTTGAAACTGAACACTCATACCTTAGGCTTTCATACAATGTACAGCCAGTTAGTGGATGCTAAGACATCTTTAATTAAGAGTCAGAAGACACCCTTGATAGGTCAAAAATGATTACACTGGCGCAGATGTATACACTTTTTTCTCATCTCTGGAGTTTTGAACGTTTTCATTCACTTTCATCTCTCTCTCTCCTCAAATAAACTTTTGTCCACCTAAATGTCACTTTTTTATCCAGTTCTCTTTTGGTTTGTACCGTGAAGTGTAGTGTCTTCAACCCACACAATTTTCGCGTTGGATTCCCCATCAGTTTATCTCTGTATCTGTCTATCGGCTACCAAGAACGTCAGTACAAATATTAGCAAGAATGAAAGGTATTCGAAGACCTTAGTCAGATCTTACCTAAAATTATATATTCGAACCACTCAGAATCTGAATAAACTTGATTTCTTCAGAGGGTGAAATTCCTTCAAAATAAATTGAAGGCTATTTTTTGGAAAAATTTATAGAAATATAGCTCAAATTTAAAGGATGTGAATACAAATATGACATAGAAGATTTTGGGACAACGAAACAAACTATTGAATCTTAACTAGACATAGATGTAATTCGACATCTTGGATAGCGAAACGTCTGTAGCTAGCATGACTTTATATCAGAAACACAGGGTTCAAAAACATATGAGTAGTGGCAATTTACATTACCGAACACCTAAAGAGAACGAGGTTACTAATGGTGTAGTCATCCGATTGCTAGACTTCTGATGGTGCCGTCTCTCCAGGAATCTCACAAAATACCTACTAGGTTTTGTTTTAATACTTGTAGTTTCCCGTTGCTATAAAGGGCCGAATTCCTCGACCTCTTCTGTTGTCAGATGAGCTTTCATGAAGATGATTCAGAACTGGCGAATATTCATGGTATTGTATTCATCTTGGTGACTTGTAGTGGAATCCGGGACGCTTTGGCGTTAGAAGCGATGGGTACTGGGTTTGGGTCTCAGTGAGAACAATATCACTCACTGAGTTGCAATTAACTTCAGCTTACAAGCCCCAAATAGAATAAAACGCACATTTTGTGAGTCACCAAGACGATTATAACGTCATGAAAATTCAGCAGTATCGAGACATCTGTGTGGGAATTCATCCTCCAGAAGGGGTCTAGCAGTTCGATCCTTGATAGCAGCGAGAAGTTAAGAGCATCAAAACAACACCTGATACCCGCTGCACAAGGGGTGGTTATAGTGCCTTAGTGGCCTAGTGGATAACGTTTTGGTGTCTGAAGTAATAAGCGCTGGTTTCGAGTCTCAGTGGGGAAAACATCACTCACTTGAGTGCAACTGTATAAAGCTGACGAGTCCCAAACTTAATGAAATGTGCGTCATGGATTCCACTGCTAGTCAGTCACCAAAATGAGATGTTATGGTCTCCGACAGAGGATAAGGTAAAGGCCCTCACTTTAGCGGATTATGAACACGTACGTATCAGCACGTTGCAGACGTAAGTCTTTTGGTCAGAGGCTTCAAAATACTTTTGTTACAGGAGAACTAATAGAGGAAGTTAGGAAGAACATCCAATGTGGACCAGATGCAAAAGGATGGAGACTTTATGTCATGCTAAAAAAACGACGATATTCTGGTGGACGATAATAGTGTCGGACCCTCCTTAAGCAAAAGTAACTATGCATTTGTAAGATTCTCCCTAATAACAAAGAAGAATATGCCAACACTTGGACCTGTAGCACTCCAGCCTTGCTGGAAAGCGAACTGATATCAGGCAGAACGAGTTCCTGAATTCACTATGGCCACGAAAACGGCACTGTTTTTTAGTAGGTCAACACTATATATAAGATATTATGTAGACTGCTGCCAAAAAGAGAATACCAAAAGTAAGCGGACGTTTACCTGTCAAACGCTATCGGGTGACTTGTGCAACCCAAAGACCGATATTAGATAAAAAGAAGGCAGAGTACAAGTGGTGCACACCTCACAAGCAAGTGAACTTACTCAGTTATGCAGCCTATGTAACATAAAAGTTCTCAACAACAGGTGCAGACATCAAGGCAACCAAGCTAAACGGATGACTTATAACCAAAAAAGTCTATATGGGTTTACGTCACGAAGCAAATCAAAAAAATGAAGGTTTTACCTTCATCACAGGACCGAACTCCAAAACCTTGAGTAGCATGGTGACAGCGGAATTGTTAGACAACCGACTTAATAAGCAGCTTAACACTGTAATCCATCTATCATTGGCGTCTAGTAGCGTAATGGAGTTCCAGGACTGAGATGTAAATTTGAAGGACGTTAGGATTTCGCCAACCTAAGTGTTTGCGAAAATATTCACGCTGAGAACAGAAAAATCTCCACGCTAGGGTGACATAAAACTAGCAATCCTACGAAATTGTACTTAAGTACGAAGCGTACTCAAATGCAGTCTGTTTAGGCAGTGGGCTATCGTTTCACCAATCTTCATGCAATTACAGACCAAAATCACTGCCTTCCATATCAAACAAGGTGCTGGAAAGTCTATTTACAGATATTGTGTAGAACTTCCTAAATAGAAACGATATCGTTCATCCAAATCAACACGGCTTAGGGATCTGACAGCTATGTACTGCAAACCTGATAACTGCTTAGGATGACTTGACTAGTAAATAGGACAACAAACAACCAGTCCACGCTTTCTTTCTGGACTTAGCCAAAGCCAATGATAGTGTCATATCCAATATCATACTTGCTTAAATTACAAATAAGAATGCCACCAAATCATTCATAGCATTATTACAGCATACTTTGAGGGCAAAGAACTTCAAGTCAAAGTAAATAGAATTTTGTCAGCCTGGAGGAGTTCAGGAATAAGAGTAAATCCAAGAGCAATATTTGAGTCACTCCTGTTTTTACTTCTCATAAATGACCTCCCCGTGCAAATCTCATTATCTAACCTTCTGTTTGCTCGCAGCATAAAAATATGAAAAACAGTAGGTAGGAGGAGGATAGCAGGTTAATCCAAGACCATTTATTACGGTTGGAATCCTGGATAGCCAAGAATGCTTGGAACAACAACCTCGAAAGGTGGAAGGTGACGTATCTTCGAACAACAGAAGGGAAAAAAGCTGACAACGCCCTCAGCAACTATGCAGTGAACATGGTATCCTTTTATGAGGACTTAGGACTGAACCTCTCCAACTCACTAAATAACAATATGAGTTGAAGAAGAATCGTGACAAAGAAGAACAGCATCAAAGACATTCAAAAAATTTAAATAAGGGCCCTAATCGCTCGAATTATTCCTCACAGTCTTTAAAACGTTTGCTGACTGCAATTAGTGGTTTTCAACGCAGCAGCTCATATGTACGTAAAAGAAACACAAACATTCGATAAAGTGCAGAGAAGTGCGACAAAGTCAATTGTTGAACTAACAGTAAAAACATACGCATAATACCCTTGGTAGCTCAGTCTGTTGACATTAAGTCATTGATGGTAAGGAGGAAACTTTATAACAGTCTTCAAGATTTTACGTCAAGAGAGCCACCTGATCGCCATATTTTCTATTCAAGATCGACAGCTTTATTTGGATCTCACTCGTATACAACACCAGAGTGAGATATAACTCCTCTCGTTGCAGATGGCCTTGCTGGACAAAGTAGCCACAGCCACTTCAGTTGGTTCCATTAAACGAATGCTTGATACGATTTACAACTGACAAGCCTTGGTATCAACTGAAAGTATATCCATCCATTTTTCTGTTACCGAACTCTATTATCTACAGTATAAAACATACGCCCTCAATATTTTCACTAATAACACTTAACCTCCACAAGTAATTTGAACTTCTTTTTTTCCCCGACAGATAACAGCTGTCATGAAGTGATGATCAGCCTTGTATATCACAATAACTCAACCAGATACACTGGCTGAAACGCTTGTTCTCTCTAGGTGTTACCATGCCAGAAAAGTGTGCCAGAAAGTGGTAGGACGAAAAACAGTTACCGCTGTAGTGTAAAATGCTTCACTTTGATAGGGGTCTGAGGGTGAAGTCGTACTGCAGATAGTTGGATGGAGTGTGACAACAGTAAGATGTCTCTCTTGGATAACCAGCAGTCCCACGCTGATGCCTTGTTCACTGTGGAAAGGGGAGATCAGAAAAGGACGAGAGTAAAAACAGCACCCTATTCGCTGCTCCAGGGTCTTCATGTGCCAGCAGCCTGGGTTCTTTTTATCCAGCGTTAGAACAATCACGTTATATTTGAACTACTTTTCGAATAACGTTTATGAATTACTTATAGATACTTATAAAGATAGGAATTGCAACAGGTTAACTGAACTTATCAGTAGCTTTGTTCCTCCCTCAAATAAACCAGGCTACAATTAGCGAAAGGAAGCCTTCAGATAGTCAAATATCACTTCCAAAGCTATGCGCAGATAGATAGAAAGGTAGCTTATAGCTACTGAAGTAGTATAATCGAGAGAAAAGTGAGATTTCAAAACTAGACCTTGGTTCAACAACTACAATTTTCCTCTACTTCCAATATTGATACCGAGTGCGTCACTTACTCCAGGTGGTACACCATCCTTTGAAGTTTTTTCACTATTCCCAACCATTCTGACGTCATTTTCAAAGGCCAAATAATTTACAAAGCCAGGGGTTATTGAAGACTGGTAACGCTGAACAAGCAACAAAATTTCTTCGTCATTAATGTCTTTAGGGCCAGGAAATCCCCTGAAAAACTGAGAGATGTTTTTCCAGTACATTAATTGTGCACAAACCTGACTTTCTGTCACTAATCCCATGTTATGTTTGTCGTACTGTCTATAACAATCGCGGATTATATACCCTTGATATTCATTAAATTGATGAATTCTCGATAATAAAGGCCGTATACAGTCGAATTTCTCATCTCCAGGTAAATGATGAAGCGACTTTGTTCCCACATTGAGAGATCTAAGTGACAATAAACAATATTCACAGTTACTCAATTGTCTGAAGAACTTTCAATCCAGGTGGTAATGAAAAGTCATTTTCATCGCATTTCCCTTCAATCGCGCCAACAAATTCCCTCCAGTTGATGTACTTATTATCACTGACGCCATATTTTTGCAAGATTAGATTTTCTTGTGGTCGTTCAAGTGGCACACCTATCAGACTTCTTAAAACTCTGAAGAATTGGTTAGCTATCTCGGTTAATAAACGCCTAAAATTATCTACCTGTTACGTATCCGGAACGTAAGTTATCATAATCCAAAAACTTTCACTGAATCTACATCTTCGATCTTTTGCTACATCTCGAATGTAATTTTCAACATTCTGAAGAGCATCCACTGACATTTGTCACTTGAATGTGTTTGGAAGCGTTACTAATAGCTATTATATTTATTTAGAATGACTAAACAAACTAAAGTCAGCAAGTGTTGTAAAACGAATTCATGAATTTCAAAAATACTCTTCTTGTTGTTCGGCTGCAACATCATACTTCAGTGAGTATGCCAGAATTTGAATCCAATCCAATATCCAATATTGATAGTGCGAGCGTAGAAAACTGGTAGTTTTTGATCTCTCGCGTCTAGTTATTCGGGCTTGGTTCCAGTTGTTCGGTTTACTCCTGCAGTGGATGAGGAAATACCCTCTGCTTTCTTGCTTTCAGTTTCGGTGAGGTGGATGTTTTGTGGGTTAGTAGGTTGTAATTTGTAGAGTGATTAGGGAGCTACGGGTTGCTGGGAAGTTTAGAGAACTGCCATGACTCCTGTCTTTGTAGGTACCTGAAAGAGGATAGTAAGGTAGTGGTAAAGGAATGAAGAGAGAATAAAGAAGAGAGTGCAGTAGCACCATAGAGACTCTGGGACCTGGGTTAAGGCCGTATCGCTAACCATCCTTGCCTTTAAACAGGAGTTTGCGTAGATAGCCAATCCCCCTCCTGCTCTATGTTCCCTGTCCCTGCGGAAGAGTTCCATGCCAGCAACACGCATCTCTTCGTCGGAGATGTCCGACGAGAGCCAGGATTCGGTGATGAATATGATGTCGTAGTGCTGATGTTCACGCAGCGTCCTCATTTTTGCTACCTTCCCTATTAGCCCCCTAACGTTGCTGTACATACATATTAGAGTGTGCCTGATGAGAGGGGAGGTCTGGATGTGTATTTTCGAGGGATGAGCGCTTACGTGTGCAGAACACCTGCGGTATATGCAGCAGCTAATTTGTATCTCATGCCGTTCGATTATTTATATCGAAAAATGGACTTGCGTAGAGTTTTCACCCTCCAATCTTCTCTCCAAACATTCCGTGACTAGCGTGAAATTGGTGGTAGGTAAGTCACTCTGGGTTATCAACTTGGTCAAATGTCCGCATTATAAACTAGCACACTGTAATTGCTTTCTCCACGCCTCCATCTAAGCTGTTTAGAAAGGTTTTCGCCCATTGTTGAATTCCAGCCCAGTAATCCTGCCACTTGTCTTCCGTAATTCTGAAAATGAGATTGATAGCTGGGTGTTGTCTTATTTCGGTAGGAACTGCGTGACTCCCACAATTGTAGTGAACGCTACTTACACGAATGTGCATCATTGACATCCAACACAACAACCAAGAAAAATTCCGGATGATAATCGATTGACACGGTTTGTAAGGAAACTGGCCAAAGTCTCCAATAAAAACATAAACAGTAAGAAAATGAGGTAACGTGATTTTGTGGAAAAGTTGAATATCTCTACGACTATTATTAATTTTTTAACATTCGATCTCTTCTACTCCAATGAACTTTTGTTCACCTGGGTGCTCCGTCTTCTCAACGCACTAAGGTGCCGTGTCCCGTAGTCCTTCCAGAGGAAGAATTTCGGAGTTACCTGCTGTGTTCGAACTTGTGGTAGGGCTGGTAGCTGTCCCGTTTACCTGAAACGGGAAACGTCTATTGTGGATAAGTTGCCGCACATTGGGGAAAGTAGAGCACGGCAGCATGAGCAGCATGGACAAAAGGGTCTTCTGAGGACCTATAGTGAAGTGGTTTGTAGCGGTATTCAACAATCTGGCTAACAGATGGTGAATGAAGTATCAACTCTGGTGCGTGGAGTTTCAGCAGATTGGAGATGAATCCGTATTGACACGGACACTGAACAACCTACTAGGTCGTGAGTTTCCTATGGTGGACGGGGAGTCCTATGTTCAGCTACTACCTTCACCATTTATCCAGTGCCTTCAAAATGCTACTGTCCACGATTCACACCTCAATATCCCTGTAGAACTGATGAGTATTACTGAGATGACCAAACCTTAAAAATAAGGGACAGTTGTCGGAATGACTGTTCTGCCTTCCGAAAGGCCTTACGACGTTGTATTAACTGGCCAGAGGGAAGAAGACGAAAATATTTCGAGAAGTATCAGGTGTGTACTTTGTCTCAACTGAATGAGAATACTAAGAGGAATCGATAGAGGTGCGGCCTGTGTGAAACTCTCGGTAAATGACTAGGTGGTTGAGTGTATATGTGTGTTGGTGTGTCTTTCACATGCATCTTCTACAATGTGAGTAAAAGAAAGCGAAAGATTCACAAGTCTGGGTACCAAGGTCTTTTTTTTATGCAGTGATGCTCCTTCGGTAGCCACAGAAGTCATACTGGCCTAAGTGCTTATAGTCTTCAAGGCAGCAATTTTCTGTTTAAGACTCCTCATTTGTAAAATACACCCTGGTTATTCGTAAGAGCTACAGAGCTACTTACAGGATCAACGGGCCTCTCTTGATCCTTGCCTGCATAAATGACCGCAAGTGCACATTAACTTGTGAATCTAGAAATGATGCGAAAGACTGGATGTATGGTTAAGAGAGACAGAGAGAGAAAAGATGGATGTGGAAAGTGACGGCGAATAATAACGAAACTCATATTATTACGAGAGCAGCATCGCTAGTCGGGTGGATGTTACGGTGAAACAGCAGGAGCATGAATGGTCGAAATCTGACTTGCTATTGGCGTACGTTATTGGTAAGCCGTGCTTGCTGAAATGCTTTTCTATGCCTGACTGAAAGGGGTCAGCTGGTGAGGTTGTGGATGGTTTATTCGTCAGGGCGTTTCGTATGACGCACACCATAAAAGAATAAGTTGGCAACAACACCCATCTTAGCCCCTAGTAGGATTTGGCTGATTTCGCTGCTTTAGCCAACTCGAGACTCTACATTGAAGGCCGTCACACATTTGTTTCTATACTGTGAAATGAGAGTTTGCTTCATCTTGAGCATTGTGTGCATGTGTATTATGCCTGTCGGTCTGACAAGTGATTTTGTAGCTTTTCTCTGCTGAAAAACTACATTGTAGGTTCAGCAAAACAGCGAGCAATAATTTGGGAGCAAGGACTCCAGTTTGCACTCCTACGAAGCATACGAAACATGCGTTTGATCCGGTTACCATTCTCTACTACCATTAATTATACTGGTGAATTTTAGTCGAGCACCTTTTACTGTGGACACCTAGGTGGTTGTACGATTGTTGAATGTATGTGAAACTGTCTTCGCTTCCGGTTTTCGCAGACAGGCGGTGTTACACTTCTTCATAGTGAGGGTTTAATTCGTATTCAGCCTTTCGAGTATCCTGTACTGTCCTACCCCGAATTGTTGACTGGCCCCATCTCGTCCACTGCAGCTATAAACAGTGCACTCAGAATGCAGAGGAATACCTTAAACTTCATCATTATTCATCGAGCCACTATGAGTGATGCAGAGTATTATGGCGGCTACGGTGAACATGTGTTCAGTTTAGCATGAACAAACAAAAATGGAACTTTTCATTAGGGAGGTGGTATATTAGTATCGATACCATCCCTCATTGTATGTTCGGCATACCTTGACATTGCAATGGATCTGGAGGTACATTTCTTTTCAGTAGCACACAGAATCTGCTGTAGCACTTCCTTCTACGTAGAAGGTATTTCAAATGAAAACACCTGAGTAGTTTGGCCAGCATTACTTCTTCTTTAGAATGAACTTGTTCAATTGTTTTCTGTTTTTTCTTGAATGATGCCTTTATGCATTCACTAGACATGACTCTCACTTCTGCCAGGTAGCCTAAAAACAACAAAAGTTCAACATTTATATTTAATCGCACCATTTATACGTGTTGTAAAATCTTTCTTTCAGACTGGGGATTCACGCGGCCTTGGATGAAAGAGAGACGGTAAAAAACATAACCAAGGATGTTTCACCACCTAATGTTATAACCATATCTGTAAAGATGATAGGCACCTGTAAATTCATGGATAAATTATTACTATTACTATCTCCTTGTCTGTTTCATGACTGGCAGAATCTTTGGTGTTTTAACATGGTCTAATGACCTCCCTTCTGTATTATTCAGCACCTCTGAAACCTTGAAGATTTTTTAACAGATATCAATGTAATGATGCCTGTAAACCGGCCTCCCGTATGTCAAACTCCTAATGTAAGAATAAAATATCCGTTTATTTACTCCTTTGTAACACCGACGGTTCAGTTAATAGGTGAAATTTTGGCGAAGATTTCAGGTTACCTGACTTTCATGGAAATCGGATGTTGTAAAGTCATCTTCTCTCCTATTATTCCACGCGCCTCGAACAAAAGATCCCGGTATTGGATTATCTTAGGGAGGCGGGTCAACTGGGTTCATACAACTCTGAGCGAAGAATAATTCATGTGGTGTAAATAAAAAAGGCAAGATATCAAGCGCTTAGCTACTGGGGAGTCTGACACCGACGTCCTTTAAACCACGAGTTTGGTTACGGAATAGATACACTTACGGCTCCCGAGACAAGCTGATAACAACAAAAGGGTGTTCATGATTGGGTACAGAAAACGTTGCTTCCTCGAAATGCCGCTGTACCCAGCTAGTGAACTGTGTGCCATCTGGGCGACCCTAGGATCCTTCGATGTTATTTGCTTGGTAATGGCTAGTAGTAGGTGGCCGTTTTTTCTTATTTGGAGCGCCTCGACGTTTCATGCACACATCCCGGTGAGTGATGGCTTTCCAACGCTTCTTCCTTCAGTGCAAAAGCTAAAATGCTATGCGCTGGGCTGCTGAATCGCAAGAACGACATTTTTGTACACAATAGCATTAGCCTACCCATGTTAATGGTAATTTTCCATTGATAAAGGTGTTGTATCCAACGAGTGGTACTCATTTGACGTGTAGGATCCTTGAGCGAACGCTCCATTATTTTCCGAAGTTCGCTTTCGATGTCATTTACTAGTGAGTCGCAAATGGACGGTACCGCTCACCTAGAATTACGTTGTCAGCTGCAACGAAGCGACTAACACCAAAATGAAAATGCAAGCAACTTTGGAGCATCTATTCGGTGAACCGAGACGCAAAGTATGACATAACAGCTTCACTCATTATCATAGCAGTAGAAAACAACAAGCATGAATGGCCAGCGACTTCATAACCAAGGAATTTGAGATGCATGAAAACATAACCTGATTATTTTTGGCGTCTCATATCCAGTAAGACGCCCTGTAGAGTCTGGTTGCTGGATCACCAGTACAAAATTTTGGTTGGCGCCAAGAGGAAGTTCCTCGATCTTGATTAATCCTGGGATTCTTGAGTGAAGCTTGTGCCTGAGGAGATTCTGACTATGAAAGTCCTAGCTATGGAGAATTCAAAACTAATGCACAACAGTTTCCTGGGGGGTGGATGCTCCCACCCCCTTTCAAATTTGTCAACGACACAGTGGCGCCACTGTACTGGCTAGTATGGATACGAAACTGGTATGAACAGAAGAGGTATCAAAAGAGACTTGATGGCGAAGGGGGGCTCCTAGTTGATGTGCAGACAACTCACGGTTGTCGGTACCGCGGAAGATAATCATTGCAACCAGTACTGCCTTTACTAACGGAATGGATGCGGTACTAATGAGGACCAAAGATCTGTTGGGTTTCTTAACTATGTCCTGAAGTTCACGTGGCAGACGCCTCCAGTGACTAAAAGGGAAGGTTCAACAATATTTTGGACACTGCCTGGGCCTTATTTGCTCAGTTGACGTTTACCCGTCAGAGAGAAGCACAAGCCCTCAAATTAGTTGAACATAAAGTCAGATCATCGGCCTTAGTCACCGCAGCAAATGGTACGCCTACAAGAGTATGATTCCACCATCATTCATATGCCAGAGAAATGCAGTACGTTAGTTGATTTCTCATTGAGGCCAGGCAAGAGAAGTGAGACGCTTGAGTGAAAATGTACTGTGAAAGCATTCAAACAA